CGATGTATATGTTAGCGGCAATCTGCATAAACCGACATTCTATACAACTCCTAGGCAATCTATAGAATACCTAAAACGTCAAGGTAATGTATGAAATATTAATAACTAGTGGCCCGCCCTCGCTTCGCTTCGGTGTAGAGCTGAAGACTATAGTTATTGTTCTCAGGCCTGTATTATACACAATGGCATTCTTCTTATACCTACCGCCGCACTATGTGGAGATCGAGTCGGTTTCGGGTCATAAATCTATAACTTCCATGTTTTTATAGATATACAGCTGATTTTTTTTTAGGTAATCTGAGATAAACGTACTTTAAAATAATATACAGTCTATGCATATAAAAATATATTTAATAATTGTAAAAAAATACAAAACATGAAATATTGAAAAATTATCATAAATTTACGACTAATTTTAAACAATGTGACCTAAATGTTATAATTAATACAAAATAAACACATAAAATTACTCATATTAATTAAATATAATAAGAAAAAGAAAATAACATAGAATTATATTATTCTACTAGCTCTACAGCTTCATCTATAAGTTCCATAGACTTTTTATTGGAAGGTTTTCTTAAACTTGTTATGTAAGGGTCTGAAGTGTACAAAAGTGTATGTAAAACGTCTTCATTTGTAGCTACTCTAGAGCATTTTCTAGCATGATGAAGTCTGAATCGTTTATAGTCTTTGTTCCTTGATTCCTGGGCATCTTCGGAGAGCTGTCCAAGAGGTAACACTGAATAATGCCGAATTACACTTTCCCCATGAATTAGGACTTTATGGACAGATGATGGCATATAATACCACATATATTTACTAACATATCGTTGTGCTGTATCGAAAGCATACTGTCCAAATTTCGTAGCATTAATTACTTTTCCGCTAGACATAACTTGAAGTAAAACATAAAATCGTTTTATCAATTCCTCATCCACACCGGCAATTTCTGCAGTGCACTGATAATTTTGAAAAAATCGTCTAGCTGTATTACCGTCATTACTGTTACCAGAACCTTGCTTAGGTTGTTTATCTATATTTAAACCAAGTTCTTCTCTGAACCTTCTTTGTACATATGTCTTCTTTTGTTTTTTCAAATCTTTATTTTCTGTCGTTGTAGCAGACCATTTTTCAAAGCCTACATTATAAGATATATGTAAAATTAGTTCCATGAATCTAATCCAGCAATGTAAAGTCGAAAGCCCATATTGATAAGAATTTTCGTCAACAGGTTTATTTTGTACTTTTTCTAAATTGTTCATCTCTGTATGTAGGTCTTGCACCACAAATAGTACATACAGCACCTGATGAAGTTTCTGACAAAACTTGAGCCACTTTCCCGTCAACCATTGTCAAAAATAATGTGTGTTTGATTTCAATACTTTCACCATTTTTATTGATTAAGCTTGTTGTGAGAGCGTTTCTTTGAGCTATAATTTCATTAACTACACTTGTAGTTTTCTCTGGTGAAAAAAAATTCTATTAAAATGGGCCTACAAAATCTTACTGATGATGGAACAGGGTTTTCCCACAAAGTTTCATTTGTATTAATATCAACAAGTTTCAGAGGTACTAATGAAGATATAAATATATTTGTGTCAGAAATTAACTCATCCTCTTCAGTTAAGACTTGCTTGTATTCACTTTGTCCGCTTGAGCCATCACAGCCCCATTTCGAATACAGCATTAAATGTTTTTTGCCAGCTTTGTATACACCATTGATTTTCAAAATTCTTGCAATAGTGTGATCCAGCAGATCTTGCATTTTATTTTTGCTGTAATATTATTAATTTCTATGCTTGATCTTGGTGGGTAGCACATTCCTTTAGCTTCCTGAATTGATTTATATGACGGAAATAATACGCAGTTCTTCGCAATTAAGCAATTTCTCATGTTTTCATACTGTGCCATGTTAAGGTCCAACTCTATAAAAATACTGAGAGCTTCATCTTTAGAGTACGCTGTTAAATGTGCCGGTTCATTTAAAAGATTTTGACGTATTTCACTTTTTTTATCTATGGGTAATACTCGTAAAATTTCGACAATGAATGCTTCTTCCGTTTCCCCTTGAGATCTCAATCCTTGAAGATATGAATTCAGTATAAAATCAAGGCCACATGTTTCAAGCAACTCCTTGTTTTTTCGTCTTTGTGTTCTATTGGAACTGTCTTCGTAGGTTTTAGAAGGGCGTCCTCGCTTCCCCGTCGATGTCGAAGATTCAGATTCACAAGTAGGATCTTCCAGATTTACTGTGAATGTGGCATTCAACCACAGGCTATTCTGATTTAAAAAAATTTCTTTATTTCTGCCAGATTTAGTGTAGCGTTGACGAAAGTTCGTAATAAGATTTTTTTGTACACTCGCGACAATTTTAGCGATATTTGCCTCAGAAAAGTTGATAAAATTATTCCGTATATAACTTGTTAAAGCAACAACATAATTCCCGTCACTTTCAATCAAAACAAGACATAGATCGCGTCTGGTACATTGGAATTCACTCATTGCGAGAGAGTAGGTGGTTAGATACACTTTTAGTAACGACAATAACGAACGAAAAACAGTATGTAATTATTCAGTATGCAGATGCTCTATTTTATATTAAATAACTGATTTGAAACGTATGCAAAGTATGGGAATAAAAACTATTTATCATTATGTGGTTACTCGGTTTCCTATGTGTTTTATTGATAATTTATTTTGTAGGCGAACTAAAAATGGTGAGAAATACTCGATACATTATCAAAACATAAACCGCAATTAATAATATATCACAAGTGTAACCTATATCAACTAATAAAACAAATAGATTCGCCCACGTATTTTTAAGAAATTATTACTATTTCATGTTATGATAGATAGCATTATGTTGTGCAATGAAGTTGCAACTTTTTTTTTCTTCCTGTATAAAAATATTAAATTTCCTATCAAATAACATCATTTACAGACCTTCGGCAAATTTCGGCAACTGTCAAAACTCTAATTGAAAGTTTCAGATACGCAAAAATGATATGTCATGAGATAAATATTTCTAGTAAATATATTTATAAACATATAGCATATTTGTGTATACCAAAAAAAAAGTATATATTATAAGCTTTCTAAAATGGTATAATACTTGTATAATTTTCATTGCTAGCTTACTAGAAAAAAATCCTGAAAAAAATACAAATTATGATGTTTTCGTGATAATTTTTCAATCATCGTATTTAGATGCTTTTTACTATAAAAAAGTACTAGTTACATACATAAATTATACATAATATAGTAGATCAACTTCTTAGCTATAGTTTGAGGTATAATACAAGTACCTGCGCCGATTTTTACAAAATGTATTTATGGCCAAGCTCTCTTAGGCACCTCCACATAGTGCGCCGCCGCGACCCATGTCGAGCGCGGCAACCGTTACACAAAAATAATCCTTATAGCATGATTCAGTATTTACGTGCGACGGCGCGATGACTTATTTCATGTATAAGTTTGGTGTTTCTATACCGATTTCTATGATTCTTTTTTTATTGAATAGGTAATAATGATTTTTTTTTAAATTAGGGATGAGTGAGAGTATTATAAACGTAAGAGTAAACAAATATAATCAGAATGCTCCGAACTGCTAATCTATGAGGAGTTACACGTGTTATTGTGAGTCAACCATAAAAGATAGACATATGCTGTTGCAGGATATTTTTTAGACAATTTTATGTAGAATATTTCTGTCATACATGATTTCTATGTAACTTTAACCATTAAGGCTGCACACGCAACGGAAGCTAAAAAAATGGAGTAACTTCTCCCGTTTTCCCAACATTTCCCTTCACTACTCTGCTCCTATTGACTGTAGCGTGATGAAAAGTATACTATAACCTGCCCAGGAGTATGAAGAATAATTGTACCAAGTTTCGTTAAAATCCGTCAAGTAGTTTTTGTTTCTATAAGGAACATACACACAGACAGACAGACAGACAAAAATTTTACTGATTGCATTTTTGGCATCAGTATCGATCACTAATCGCCCACTGACAGTTATTTTGAAAATATATTTCATGTACAGAATTGACCTCTCTACAGATTTATTATAAGTATAGATTTTATACTTTGCCTATAGGTATTCTATACAATTCCGAATGTACAGTCGCCAATGTGTGGAAAAAAAAGATAGCGAATCGACATTTCCTTGTTTTATTTTTCTAATATCTATATACTTGACAAATCTTATTATTTTACACATTGCCGCTGGACCAGCTGGTACTTCATACAATTGCTAGAAATTGTATACTAGGCAAAGTATAAAATGGAAAATAATAATAATAAAATTTCATATTATGTTGCCTAGACGCTCCAGGTATTCTATACATTGCCTAGGTATTGTATAGAATCTGAATTATACAGATTGCCGGTGACATATATAACGATTTTTTACGCCAAAAGTCTCACTCCAAAGTCTTCATTTATTTTTAAAGCACCCAACACGTTAAAGTACTTCATCTTTACCATCAAAAATATTTTTGGGATATATATGGGTTGTATTTTCTTGGTGGTACGACAAAAAGAGATAATTCTAAATATAATAACTGTAAGTACCTAATAAAAACACGTAAATTCACGGTACATATTTTTTGCAGCTCGGGCAAGGCTACAAGCACGGGAAAGCAATTTGTGTAAATGATATGTTCATTATCACACTCCTGCAAGACGACGGCGCTGCATTTGGGATTGGTTGCGTAATGTACTCGAAGAGCTCGATGGTGCAGCACAGGCAGTACCGATTAGGGGAAATTAAGGAACTGCCGCAGTTTTTGGTCATAAGTTGGGTGATCAATAATTTATCACTCCGAGTTTCGAAAAGCACGTTAAGGTGTCTACAGGTAGTAGACAACTACTATCATAACGTCGATTCGTTCAGTGAGCATAGTACTGTTGACAGTACTAGTAAACTCACGAAGAGTGTTAGTTTTTCGGCGGGTTGCTAGTCAAAAATAAATATATTTGATCGGACTTACAATTGACTGCTTCTCTGGCCAGGAGTAGTTCCTTTTCTAGCTGCTGTGAGTCTAAAGGAGAAGCGTCTTGTCCGCCTTCTCCCTTCGCTCGTTCGATCAGAGCTAAGCCCGCCTCTCCTCGTTCCGCTGCAGCCACTAGCAGCCGGCGTACTCTCGTTAGTTCGGCCTGATAAAAAAATATCCTCATTTAGTAAGATTAAGATAAATGACATACAAAATTTGCCTAAAGAAGGTTTGCAACCGTGTCTAACTTTTTTGTGTATATGTTTATAGTTAAGACGAAAAGTAATTAGCGAGTTTGCTAGCTGTTATTTGCTAGTCTTTCGTAGACTACTTCGTTCTGATATGGTTCAGTTTCTTCGTGATCATGGCAAGATTGCCAAAATATCAGGGACTCGCTAAAAACAACATGGTTGCAATCCCGCTAAATATTGTTAATAGTAGCACAATAAAAAATAATGTAGATTGTACAAGACATTGTAAAAAAGAACTAAATTTATCGATTATGTCTACTCAAGTACATGAATTACCTACCACCGCCTCCTACCACATTCAAATAAGTACAATGCATTTATAATAACAGGTTATCAGTTTACCTTATTAAAGATAATTCGTTCATAAATACGAATTTGTTTCAATAACAAATAAGTTTTAATTTCAATCTTTATAAGTTATTGATTTCTCCGAACCGATTGAATCAAGTTCGCAGCAAACACGTAAATTTAATTTACAACCCCAGATGTCTCAACAGATAGTGTACGCGGGTCGTTAGAGGATATAAATTTTCAGATCTGTAGTTATGTTACCATAGGGTTTTATTACATGAAATATACTTCGAACTTTTGACATTGTGTACATTCCGTAGGCTTTATCCGCCCACACCGCAGGAACCCAGCGGGGCTCCATATCCGTAATACCAGTCGAGGAAAGCCTTAAGTACCTCGGCCTGGTGTTGGACCCCCGATGGAGTTTTGAGGAGCACTTTGAGCTCCTCGCTCCACGGGAGCCCTGGGGCTGCGTGCCGTCAGCTGTATCACGGCGTGATATGGTCGATGGCACACTACGGAGCCCCGGTTTGGGCTGAGTATCTTAAGTCCCGCGTGGTGGCCCTGCTACACACAGCGCAGAGGGTTATCGCGACCCGGGCCGTGTGAGCATATCGCACGATCAGACACGGCGCAGCCTGCGTATTTGCAGGCGTGAAGCCGTGGGACCTCGATGCACGGATCCTGGCAGACGTGCATCGAGGTTGCCAGGCATCGCCAGCGGGGCTAGCGACCAGCTGCAACAGAGTGGCGGGAGGTCCGCTCCACCGCGCAGAGCGATGGTACGAGGCACTCGCCCATGTTGATGCCGGCCACCGGATGATAGTGCCCCTTCATCCGATGTTGGAGGAGTGTGTGGAACGCCGGCGCGGCGACCTTCCGCATGGTGCAGATCCTAACCGAACATGGTTGGTTGTGGAGGGCCGCGGAAGGGCCTGCGAGGGGAACGCCTTGGCAGCCCTTCCGCAGTGGATGGGGAGCAATGAGGTAAGCAATAGGCCGCGCACTCCCGCAACTCAGAGCGCAGACAATCCTACGCACGTCTGCACTTATGTTGATGAGCTTGATGGCGCAAGTAGTTAGCGTGTCCGACTGCGATCGTTGAAGTTAAGTAATTTTCACAGTAGTCGGTCATTGGATGGTTGAACAATAATTAACTATCTCGAGGTTCTCTGTGCTTTGAAAGGCACATTTAGCTGTTGGTCCCCGCTGCATCTGCAGTCGTTAGCACCCACCGCTCCGCACTGGGCCGGCGTGTGTGTATGTGTGTGTGGGTCATGGCCAAATCTCCCTATTCCATTTATAAGGAAGGCCTGTGCTCCAGCATTCCCACCAGACATTAATAGGCTGATGATGATGAAATATGCTCAGTAAGTTTTATACTGGCCTGTAATCGTTCGTTCTCGAGTCTCAACCTCCTGGCGAGTTGAGCAGCAGTCAGCATTCCTGGGGACGCTGGTATCTCCTCGTGCCGTGATCTGTCTGAACGTCCACCAGGTGAAGCCGCTTCTGCAATCAGACCGTAGTATTAATACGAGTATAGGGCAATGCGTATTTTTCTCATCCATAACTCTGTGAATTTAAACTTGAAACATGGATACGTCATAGTTTCGAGAAGATTTATAGCAATGAACTCTCTTGCGAAAAGAAATTTTTACTTCTACTAATATTTTTTCCGATTCTAGTCAAATTGCAGTTTGTGAAGAAATTATGAGCGATGTGCAAAGCCGATGCATCATCAGCATACGGATGGCCAGACAGAAAGCCGATAGCCGAGGCAAAGGTAAGTCAGAAACCTGATACACTCGCTCATGCTCGCTCACCTAGTAAAGTCACATAATTTTACGGATATAAAACGTCGACATATAAGAGTTCTACAACACAATGTGTTAAATAAGAGTGGACAGTGTACGCAATTTTTGTACGTAGTAAAAATGTTAAATAAATATATTCAACGTCTAAACAAAGTAATTGATGTTAAAAAACGTAAGTTTTAATTTATAATATCCTTGTTATACGTAAGTTTACCGTCAATATTTTTCAAAGTATCATGTTAGTTACACACCAAAACAGATGAAGTCCGTACATTCTGTCATCAGTTAATCCTTCAGGATGCGTGCTTACATGAGAACGTTTACCCGCAAATCCTAATGTTTCGTGAAATAAGCCCAGTTTATGTTTGTTGGTAGTATTAACAAAGTAGTCACGGTAGTAATTTGTGATGCTGAATGGGATATACATTTCGTAGCTTGAGTATTTTACTTGTGAAATTCTCACAGATTTTTAAAGCAAATAATACTTGAAGATCTCTAGAGTTAACCCAACTTTTAGTAAATATTTCGACACTATTCAAAATTGTAAACGACAGACAAAATCATGAGCTACTTTTTGTGCCTAAAAGTTGAACTCGCCCCTTATTATTAAACGCATAGTAAGCTTGGATAAATTACTCCATTTTTGTCTCAGTTCATTGAACGACAAATATAATTTGAGTGATATGAACAAAATCACTTGTCTTAGCTTATTCCTCGTTTATTAATAAGGGGGCTAAGTTAGTAGTACAAAATTTTGACTTAAGTATATTATTTACGTTTTAGGTATTTAAACGAAATCATGGTAGTTTATTACTAAATAACCAGGCAGTTTTGCCTCGTAGTAAACTTAACTTTCATTGGTGCCCTTATTTAATCCCTATTGTCCCATAAAGCACATATGGCGTACAGAAATTGCTTTTCTATTGTCACTGGGTATTTTATAATTTAATGAAATCGTAAACACATTATTTGTTTAAGTAGTAAGACAAGTTGGAATGTTCATTGGAAATTGTCTCATTTGCAACTACCTTCATGAAAAAAATACACTAGTTTAGCCTGACCCTTACTTGTTTACTTAAAAATATCCAATTACACTAAAAAGAAACTCAAGATAGAGAGAAGTTGCGGGTGGCCGCTAGTATAACATAAATTTGTTTAGGACATTGACTTTACTAGTCAAACTTACGATCTTTTGTTAGTTTGTTACAATGTTAAAGAGGTCATAATATTATCAGCTGCTTTATTTTCGCGTGATCATTCCCATAACTTCTCCAATAATGTGATACTTTCGGCACAAGTTCTAGATAGTTCGCTACAGTCACATACCATAGGGTGGCGTTGCGTTACCATTAGCTGTCCCTGTATAATGTGAAAAGTTTTAGTAAAGTGCGGTGCCGTCGTTGTAGTATGCTGAATTGGTTATAGCGATGTAAAACATCGTAACAATGCGAAACTTCCAGCAGTCACGAAAGGTCTGTACGAAACTAGGGGCGGGGTGTGTCGATATAAGTTAAACTAGTGCTTATGATGTTAGGCTATTAGAAAATAACTAGCGACCGCCCGCGACTTCGTACGAGTTAGTTAGAAATAAAGGTTCACTGCTCGTTCCCCTTAGGTGATAGAGTGAAAATATGTAGCCTCAATAGGATCAATGATCCGACTTCTTAATATTCGTAATATTCGTGCCAAATTTGAAGTAAATCCATGCAGTACTTTTTGAGTTTATCCCAGACATACATACAGAGAAACAGACAAAAATTCTAAAAATTATATTTTTGGCTTCGATATCCAATGTAGATAGATCACAGCCCAAGTATTCTTTTAAAAAAATATTCAATGTACAGTTTTGACTTTCCTACCATTTTATTATATGTAATAGATGCCAGTTGCTACGTTTTCAGTGCAGATAGTATATACTTTTTAACAGACCAGACGTGCTTGGAAACTGCTGTAGGCGATGGACTAGCAACGTATCACTAGTTTTGACACTCCATCACTTAGATTTAACTTATGCCAAAAGTGGCATAGTTGAGATGTAACAATGGGTGTAATATGTATTAAACAATAAAACTCTAAAGCTCCTCCAGTCAGTCAATCAGTTATCATAGGAATGATTTATATTTATTTTAAGGTAATTAAAAATATATAAATTAGAAATGATTAAAATAAATAAAAAGGGATTTTGGAAAACTTTACAGAAGATTATAGTTGAACAACACTTCTTTTTGGTAATTAGGTTATCTTTCTGTCTGTGAGTAAGGATTCCAGGCTTCGCATAAGGAGAACGAGCGCTGTAGAAAATAGTGTCCCAGGAATATAGACAAAATAAGTGGGACGCTGCAATCGCTAAGTAGTCTCAATAAAAGCGAGCTAATTTGAAATAGCCAATGCAGCGAAGAAAATTTGTACAACATTTAACTAACCTCATCTTATTGTACTCATAAACAGCTAACTTCACAGATACTACTGACCGACGACGGCAGCGCGGCTAGTGTCTGAAACATTAACTATAAATTCTACAAATTTTCAGGGTCAGGCGGGCTAATGCTTTAGTATGTAGCGATCGTTCTGCTTCTCTCTAACCTCCATGGTGTCTATATTATATGGAGGTCGCTTATCATTAGACGGATCATAATGCTTATTTGCCATCCTGCTTTCATAAAAAAAGTTAAGTAAAGTATCACAATTAATCAGAATCGTACGTAATAAAATTCCAAAAGACAGGAAATGTTATATGCCTTGTGGTTGATTTTTGTTAAAGCCGTTTACTAACGCTTAATTCAATCTACGTAATACGGGATTAACGTTTAAATTCCTGTTATAGGCTGCAATAAAATACAATGGTCTTAAAACAACTCTTAATCAACTTGCCTATCAATTTCGCTGAAACATGATGGCCCATAAGACTTTGTCTCGTAAGGAGCAACTTTGAGAGAATTTGAAACATCCAAGGAATTGTGTGATCAACTTAACAAGTAGACATTTAAGGTAAAAAGCAAATGATAAAGAGTGAAATGGCTTTGCTACACAAACAGCATAGTGATACCATTGAAATTCGAGACAGGACGCAGCAAATGGTAGATGGCATCGGTCAGTGCAGAAATGACCTCTTACGTATAATATAATTGAACATTTTATCCAAGAAATCATAAGCCGTTGCAGATCGTGTAAAAAAATTTGGTGTTAATATGTAGTTACTTGCAAACATAGCACATCACTAGCGCAGAGTCCAGACAAATCGATTACTCGTATGGAACACGTAGATAGGGCGAGTCACAGGTGTAAGCGAAGCTTAATTTATGGTACGGTGTTCTGGAATGATGGACGATGGCACAATATTGACCGTCGGTACAGAATATTAGTGTTCTTAATAACGAGTTATACTAATAATGCCTAAAGTCATACCGCTCAATTTATTATTTGTTTTTTCCCAAGGAATGTGTTATATTCTATGGCTTTTTAAGCTGTTTGTTTAAATTCCATTGATTTTGAAGTGAAAGCATCCAATTAAATGTTCAGTGGATGTACTAAATTTTGATACGTTTTTCTGAAAATAATGGAGTAGTAAATCGCAATGCATACGACTTTTTCAGAACCCGCCTAGTTATTGTTAATTATTAGGAGACGCTACAATAACGCCAGCCCAATTTCCATTCAAAACTGGAAACTTGTATGATAATTATCATGAAAATATCGACCTATACAGATAAAGTTTTAATTAGATAGCGAGTAGAACTTTATTATTACCTTATTAACCTAAATTATAACTTTTAAGTTTATAAATTTTAATTTAAATAAATTGGAATTTTCAAAATTTTATTTTTTAAAGTAATTTATATTGTATCTAGGCCATAACCGAGCGATTGAGGGCACGATATTAAATAAATTGAAGAGCCCTATCTCATCTAACTTATCGATGTCCATAGAACATGATCCCATTTGCGAGATAATGATGACATGATTTGGTGTTTTATAGAAATACCAAACGAGTAATATAATAATAATAATAATTGCGTGAATATCTAATTTATGGTTTTGTATGTTAGTTATCGATTCTTTTATGTATCAATTACTTCATTGTACATATTTACTTTATTAAATTAACTATTTTAAAATACGAACCCAGACCTCATACCGACTTTATGTTTACTAAATGCATGTTTACTTTGACCCCCACTCATAACCCCGCCCGCACAAATGTCATCTTCCTAATTTTAAAATATATGTATTCTCTAAAGAACTTTTATCAGGAATGATATTTTAAGTAATAGACCAATAAGTTTAAAGTTCAATCTCAAAAGAATTGTCTTTTTTCACCCAAAAAGAATGCTTCATCTACTAAGATGTAGCATTCTTTTAATTTCTTTTGAGTACTATAGAGTTCTACCCAGAATGGATAGAACCTAGGGGCGTAGACGATAATTGAAAAAATACTGATAGAGATAAATTATTTATTTTATTTTATCATTCAGGCGATTATAAAGAATTTTATCTAAATACGAGAGGAAGTTCTTGGTGCCTGAAGATCTAATCTAGAATGGAACCTTCTATCAAAAGACAGACGATTCCTTATTTCAAATCTTAAAATCATGACATTAACTTTTTTTAATATACCTAACTGCCAACCGTAGGCATTGCAAAAGCAAAGAGTTTACCTAAACAAGGAGGTTATAACGTCAAGGACGTTACATCCCTCCGGCACCTCTAAAAAAAAAATTGTTTTGTCATACCAGATGACCGAACAAAATTTTTTTTTCCTACCTACTACATCGAGAGGGTTCGACAGTCCTATCTAAAATCCCTACCTGCTTAAGGACATAAATACAACTGGGAGGTGGCCTTTACTACAGACTAGCCCTCACAATAAGTTTGCAAAACTTGCAAAAAAAAAACTTTACGGGAAAAGAACCCTAACTGTTTGCAAAGTTTTATTGCAAAGACTTTACGGGAGCAAAACCTTAACAAAATCCCTCGCACATCTCCCTCCTAACCTTAACTTTACTTTACTTTACATCGACATCAGTCGGCAAAAACAAAAAAACAAAGCTAACCCTAGCTATAACTTAAATTACCCAAGCAATTTTTTTTTATCCCATCTATCAGCAAAACTTTACCCTATCCCATTTATTAAACCATTAAATATCAAGAAAATTTATATTTTGAAACTTCATTACTTCCCATACTAAGTAGATGTACGAAACGAAATTCAAACTATCTTCTTCAAACTTAATTCTTAAGATTCGTAAACATTAACTGGATTTGAGCAAAACCTAAAAGAATTTATAATTAATGTTTACTTTCGTACATCTTTAATAAAGATACAGACGTGGTCCACCACTTTATTGTCTTGTACTTTATTAGACACCCATGATGCGCAAACGTAATAGAAATTTTGGGTAAGGACATCTAGCATCAAACAAGATTAAACCCAATTCCCATGGAATACTAAGGGTTCCCTACCCCCAAGTCAAACTACTACAAGTGACGATTTTGACGAACGCGACGCGACCAAATTGAAACGAAAACGACGCGAATTCGTAGAGGGTGTCTCCATCATCTTCAGGGTGGATCATCGTCAGTATCGCTGACGTCTGCATGAGCGCCAGCCTGCTCTCTCTCGGGAAGTCCGCATCATGTGGTAGTACATAAAACAATCAAGAAAATATTAGTAAAATTCTTTACACCATTTTTCTTCAGTCGGGTAAGTTAATATTCAAGAAAACATTTATGATAAATCTTTGTACCATCTTTTCATAGTTGGATAAATTTTCAAAATTTAACATTATTATTCATTTATTTATTTATTTTTTTAACCTTACAGGGAATCGGACCCGTTTCCTTTTTTATAATAAGGGAATTTTCTTTATGGACCTATATTATCCTATTATACATTATTAACTATATATATTCTATCCTAATACTGAATTAATCTTATCAATGATCATATTCAATGTCAATTGAATAATTCCAAGTTGAACAGAGAATCGAACCTGTTACCTATCATTCTTATGGTTATTACGATATCAAAAATCCACCTACTCAACAAATTACACTAAAGCTAACGATTAAAAGAAATGAAAATACTTTAATGAAACTACCCATTGATCTGTCATAAACAAAATGTGTAAAAGTTCCTTATAATATGTGTATTGAAAAAAATTTCTAATAAAATGACAAAGTTATATTTAATATGCTTTTGAAGTAAATTCTAAAATGACTATTGTATTGAATCTTATTTACATACCACCATTGTTTTAAAACATTCATATAAACAATAAACTGAAATAAAATCTCATTAGTAACACATTATTATAATACTATCAACCTATTCGGCATAATATAAATTTTCATCATACACCGAATTATCACTATTCCTTTCATTATTCTTTTGTGTATATTGTCTTTTAAACTTGCACTTAATATGTTTGATTATTAATTGTTCATTATAAAAGTCTACTATCGCATTATTTCGAAGTAAGAAATCCTGTCCTAAGATGAGGTTATGCCTAATATTCTCTACCACAAGAAAATCGTGAATGAATAACACATTGTCTATCAATAATTTAAGGTTAACTTTCCCTATAACAGACAATTCTTTACCATCGACAGCTTTCAACTTCATATCGCTTTCATCAATTCGTTGATGAATTCTATTAACTGTGTCCTTCGACACCACAGACACTGCAGCACCACTATCAATGAGCCCTACAAACTCCTTATCACGACACGCTATATTAATTAATGGTTTGGACTCACTTGTATACTGACTGTTGTTTTCTGACGGCTGTGAATGGTGAATTTCTTTATCAGCCATCTTCATTGAATCTTCTTCATTAAAAAATTTCTTCATTTGCTTCTTCTTCTTTGTTTTATACTTCTTTTTGTTCGTGTTACTGGAACAAAAAGTGCGGGGAATCATGTGTTCGGGAGGGACAATGGGATGAGAAAGGACACTTTGGGAGGAAATGAAGTTGATTTCCTTCTCTTGTTCTTCTTCATGCCTTATTATAGGCGAAATTTTCACCGCTTCGAAGTTTGTCATTGGTGTAACAAACGATGGTTGGATCGGCAAATTCCAACAAATTTCGGCACTCTCGTCTCCGAAAATATCCTGTGCTTGACGTAAAATATTTTTTAAATGTGTTTTATCACTATATAACTGAAATGCGAAAAGATTTTTCGTATTTAAATTCGCATTTTTCAAGAACTGTCTAATGAAGCATTTGTCATCGATGACAGCTCCCGCTTTTGTGGCCAGCTCATCCAATATATAAAAAAAGGTCAATGGCTCTTCTGACAAGCCTTGTCTTCGTGAGAAAAATTTTTCCAACGCATTTATCGATGATGGAAATTCCTCACAAATTTTCTTTTCTAGAAGCTGAAAATTCTCACAAGACTCATTAATATTTTTATAAAATAACAATGCAGGTCCACTTAAATATGCCGACAACACAACTCTTTTTGTTTCATCGTTGAAATTATTGACGACGGCGATGATATTAAATTGACGAAAGAAATCGGTTACATCACCTTTTCCGTCGAATGTGGTCCTGTTCTCCATCTTCATAAAACTACTTCTTTCTTGATTTAAAATTATTTTTCACTCGCGGTACTTGAAGCTAACGCGGCGCGTCCACCATATAGAGTTCTACCCAGAATGGATAGAACCTAGGGGCGTAGACGATAATTGAAAAAATACTGATAGAGATAAATTATTTATTTTATTTTATCATTCAGGCGATTATAAAGAATTTTATCTAAATACGAGAGGAAGTTCTTGGTGCCTGAAGATCTAATCTAGAATGGAACCTTCTATCAAAAGACAGACGATTCCTTATTTCAAATCTTAAAATCATGACATTAACTTTTTTTAATATACCTAACTGCCAACCGTAGGCATTGCAAAAGCAAAGAGTTTACCTAAACAAGGAGGTTATAACGTCAAGGACGTTACAGTACTGACTCATGTGATAAGCTGCCAGTGCGCATGATTTCACCCTAATACGTATTTGAGTGGCTGCTAGTGTACATTATTTCAACCTAATCCGTATTTGAGTGATCTATTAACAAATTTGCAAACAATTAAAATACCTTTATGATAGTAGAATATTTTTTGCAATTGATATTGAACTGAAAATTCATAGTCATTTATATTTAATCTAATAAACAAAGTTGGAAATCCCTAAAGGAGGCTTATGTCCAGCAGTCGTCCATCGCCGATTATGATGATGATGACGATGAATCAAAGAAAAACATTTCAATCAGGAAAAATCCCGCAAATAAATGTAAATTAATCACGATATAAAGTCTTCGTAACGTACAAAACTAAATCTCTGTTGATGTACACATCTATAAAAAAATAAAATCTATTTATAAATGAACAAAGTAGGATAAAAAGCCATGAAGGTAATTAAGTGACAAATTGTGAAAGCGTAAAGTTCTTTCTCGCAAAGTCACTCAGTTGTGTAGTTAGTCGCGAAATGAGCTTATTCCCCAAGGCACGCTGCTCATTAGCACTGAGAATATTCCGAGGGGACGGAACAATGTGTGGACTCTTTCATAAGACACAGTTTGTGTCATTTGTTTAGTTCATATAATGCATATTCTCAGTCTCGTTTAGGTATTGGTTTTTCGAAATGTCACAGTTTGGAAACCACGCTCAAATCTCAGTGTTGATATATGCTGTCCAAGTAAATAGAAACAAAATGAATTATTATGTGTGAGAAACGTGTCTATTCCTCTAACGAGTTGTCTCTGAACTTCAAACATTAGTCTTTATTCATGGCAGCCAGCGAAAGTCAGCAGTTAGTATAAGCAGCACTCATAACAGTTTCAGCTTGTAGCGACGCTGAAGAATTTCAAACTAACTCCGAACTTACTTCATTAACAAAACAAACATGCCGTCTCGACTAAGTTAGGAACTATTATCTTCTGGATTACAAAGTGTAAGATAAACTGAAGCGCTAAGTTTACATTTCTTTATCCATAGCGCGCCTTTTGTTTATTCCCGATAAGTATGCAACATCACAAAACGTAACTCTCCTAGGCCGATCTGCTGCTATTTCTTTATCAAACTTCGGATTGATTGATAGCTTTAGGAATTTGGCCTAAACATTCAGTGCACGGAATTGGTATTATTTATCTTTGGAACTGCCTCACGGAATAGGCTCGCATTACTCATCAGGTTTTCGGCGTAGTCCTTAGTAGGAAGTTAATATTGTACCACACATGCTCCACTGAGCCATTAATATACATAAGTATCTTTGGATTGCCATATCATTCCACGGAAATAACGTAGCACTACTCACCTAGTAGAATATTTGATAACGAATTCTAAAATACTCGTATATAGGTATTAATATTACACTACGATACTTGCAGTTTTATAATACTTTTTAGGTTTTATCGACACGAGATATCGATCGATCATGAACTTTAGTAGTTTTAACCTCTAATTTTATAACTTTGATCTAGAGCTCTCGATATAGTGAAACTAGACACACCTTTTATGTAGAACTTTAAGTTAAAATTAAATTATCAATAAGTACTTACCTCCGTCAAGAGTAGCTGTGATGTCTGCTCTAGGTTCAGGTCCATCACTGCTTCTTCCAGGTGAAGTAGCGTCGGGCAATGGCACCTCTTCCTCTGAACTATCTGCTGGGTCCAAGATGTTCCTCTCGCTGGTATTGCTATTACCACCAGTGCCGATCTCAGCGTAAGTTCCACTATCACTCCCGTTCTGCGTCGACCACTTCACTGGAGATTCTAATTTTCCATTCGCTTGGTTCTCTTTATTGTCGTCATCTGGGAATGAGGAAACTTAACCAAATTTTGGTTAGAATTAATTGTTACTTTCTATATGTTCATTACTTAACATAAAATAAAGATAACCAATTTATATATTTTTAATAAATACATTATTTGATCAATGTTATTAAAATAAAATGTAATATAATTAATGTTACGCGCTCTTCATATCGTACTGAGTAATAATAACCTTGTATTAATAGAACATGCGTCTATTATTTTGAATTTATGGGGTTAGCCATTTAACTAATGACCCTCCTGAAAGATTTATTACTCGGTCTGAAAGGAAATAAATTACTTCAATACGGCACCTATACTACTTTCACGTTGCAGAATAATTACTTCCGAAATATTACACTTTGTTGATTAATCGCTATTTTATGATTGAATTGTGATAAAACCTATTAAAATAATATAAGTGGTTAATGTGATATAGTATTTCCTATTTTTTACAGTAATTATCAGTGTGAAATGTGCTTATAATATTTGAAATGGCTATTTTTACTTTGGTGCTTTTGCACAGACAAGTTCAGGTTTAGAGATTGGAAACCGGACCGGGCCGGTGCCCTTTTAGACGTCCACCGGGCCGAAAGGTACAAAAACTGCGGCACGGAAGCCCCAACATGTAGAAAATTGGCATGGCAAACGCTGAGAACCGCGATGTGGGCTGCGTTATTAGTTTCTTAAATAAAAAAATAAAATAAAATAAATAAATATTTCCAACATTCACACCAATTAGCCTAGCCCCAAAGTAAGCACTATAAGGCTTGTGTTATGGGATACTAGGGTAACGGATAGAATACATAGACTTTACTTATATAAGTATATTTATATAGAAATACATATTAAACATCCATGACTGGAGTACAAATGCTCGTGTTCATCACACAAACATCTGCCCCCACCGGGATTCGAACCCGGCACCTCTCGAGTCGGCGACGCCATGAAACCCGGCGTACAAACCACTCGGCCACAGAGGTCGTCAAATTCTCTCTCTCTCTTATTCTAATACTGTGTTTTCAAATAGTTACATTAGTTTTAGTAATTGACTTTAAACAAACATGTCTTTCTCTTTACTCTGTATAGTATTAGTAATTAAATTGCGGGCGACTTCTTAAATAATCTGACTACTTTCCAAACTTTTTCTCGAATTCCTCTAAATCCATGCATTTCATCAGCACGTGGAAGATCATTTCTATCCTAAACTTAGTTACTGAATACTAATGCTTTCTTAAACTTAATTAGTAACACTAATGTTACAATTCCGTTCATAAGTGAAACTAATTAATTCTATATTGATAACTCGTAATTTTGAGACTGATTAAGACTGATTATTGTTGATTTCCTGGTTTGATATAATAAATTATTCCGTAACCTTGAATCGTTGTATTTTCCCTCCATTTACAATTTTCATAAAATACATTAAAGGTTTCATCCCAACACAACAACCCGGCTGGGCGGGTTGAAAAACATACCGGGTGGCAATCTCTATATCAAGTTGTCTTTTATATATTTTCTAAGTTAGATGACAAGTTGAGGGAGCCTAGCCACGTGGCTTACGTTTGTTACCGCTTACAAAGCGTTAATAAAACTGACATATGTATTTGAGTGCCATAATCTCAGAATAATGACTATATTGAATGACGTATCACTATATATATATAATAAAGTATACCGAACTGTGAACCTAGAATTTATTTTCTATTACAACGTGATTAGATTAACGTAGCGCTTAGATCCATCAAGTGCCTACAATTTGTCTTCTATAAGAACTATGATTAACTTAGCGCTTAACTAATTTACTACGTAGCGTTTACCACTTGTTTAGGGAGACTGGTGAAATAAGCCATGATATTTACTGATGAGTTTTACGTAGTTTCGCCTGTATAAAAGGTTGCTAATTGGCTTGGGAAGCTTGTGGAATAAGCCATGATATTTACCTATAAAAGGATTGTCCTTCCCATTCCGAATGGCCAGCCGTGTCCTGTTGAGCGTGCCGTCTTTGTCCCCGTTGAGTGAGCCGTTGCGTTTGTCCAAGGTGCCTATAAGGAGGCGGCGTTCGGGGGGGATCGGCCGAGGGTCTAGGTCCCTCTCGAGGGCGGAGCTGGCCGGCGTGATCAGGGGGTCAGCGGGCTCTGGCTCAGACTCCGCTTCCACCCGAGCACCCACCGACACTTGCTCGTCGACCATTTTGCGTAGTTTCGCCTGTGTAAAATTTTGCTCATTAGCATTTCTCTGGAATACCATCAAGTGAGTAAAAAAGGCACACAGTCAAAGCAATGTGCACGTGAGTAAGTGAGTGTTTGCGCTGCCAATAGAAACGTTTCTCTGCATACGTGACAGGCCGCCAGTGCTCACTGACACGCGGAATAGGGATGATGACTGTCTTACTTTTTCTTCGTATATCGGGTATGTTATCAAAAAGTATTGGACTCGTATTTTCTATTCTTATCATCAAACAGAGAGATATATTGATTTAAAATATAACATGACGCCACGTGATGGTACAGTTCTTACTTAAAAGTGACGTCACGAGACTCCTGTGCAAACTTTGACGCGCTTTATCTTTGTATTATTTTGGTATTGACAAAAGAACAATTAAGTCTCAATTTTATTTTTTAAAATCAAAATGACGGACTTAATTTAATTTCGTTTACTTTTTACCCGTCATCACCCTTAATATTGTATAAAGCTCTGTCTCTGTTCCTACTTTACGTAAGAGATTACAGAGCGTGTATACTGTAAGGCGTCAAGCCGATGCGAAGTAGTAAAGCCTATCTGTTGAACGCTCATGTCTGTTTCGTGATTTTAGATAGTATTTTTAGCCATCCATTTGATAATAATCCTAATTGCATAAATTTTGCGTTCTTTGATCGCAGTATTTTATAAAAGGGAAATATTAATATGATCCTCCAAAAAATAATAATAAACGATCACCTAAATATGCAATTGTTGACTTAAAGGTTCCGTTACCAATTGTAGTTTTACAGGACCAATTACTATTTTTGATGATTATCTTAAATGTGCCTTTTATTAAATTGAAAATAGTTCCCCAGAAAAAGTTTATTCATTACCAATACCATAATAAAAATGTGTATATGTAATTGATATAAATAATAGCACTTAAAAATTCTATAATTTATTTGATTAAATATTTAAAAATTATTTTTCGAATCGACACTTAGTAATGATTAGAACAGCTCATTACTTTAACAAAAGCGGCAAAATCTTTTTCCCCCTTATTTATAAACGAGGAATAAGCTGAGTCTAGTTATACCGTGTTTTGTTTAGATCATTCAAATGTCATTTTTCATTCAAAAGACAACACATGGAATTACAAATTCATGCTCATTTTTCGTTTATTAATAAGGGGGTATATGTTTAGTAAATTCAACATTGTCATTCTGCTATTTATAGTTTGCTGTCTAAAAACATGATGCTAACTCAGTTATTCTCTACTCTGTTTTGGGTGCAATCACAGTATACGTTCAGTTTATTGGTTTAATCATCTCGAGAACAGAAACACAAACCATTGTTAACTAATTATGAGACGAAGCATAATAGATTCACCGTACAAGTTTGTTCGATTTATCAAATGTACTTACTGTTGTTCTTAACGACGTCAAACAAGTTTAATGTCATTGAAATTAGGTGTGTTATTATTCTTATTTATTTGCTATTGTTGTTCTTTCTTTCTTTTATTAAAGTGAAACTTTAGTTATATCGCTACAATTTTTTCATTCATCTTTAGAATGTCGCATTACGTTTCTTATTCAATCAATCAATCAAAATCATTTATTCAGTTTAGGCTGTTACAAGCACTCATGAATGTCTTGAAGCTACGCCATCGGTTCGTAAATCTACGGCGGGAGACCTTGCACTGAGAAGAACCGGCAAGAAACTCAGCTAGGACTGCTTTTTTCTCCCTGTTTTATTACACTCCCGGACACCTAAATCGAGCCATCTTGATTTTTTTGGTTTGGAATACTGTAACTTATAAAAGATGTATGTAGAAGGAAAATGCTTTGAGGCAGTTTTGGAGCTGGTATACTCATCATTCATTTAGAGTGCCACTGTTCTAAATTTGAACTACAGTTTATTAAAAAAGTCGAGTTACGTTGAAACAAGTCCATATTTGCTTTTTTCAAGGAAAAACAACTAATCGATTTTTAAACAAAGATATGTTTTATATGAAAAGAAATGTTTATTTAGTAACTTGCATTGCCTCCCAGTGCATTTATGATAGCTCTCATACGGTTTGGCATAGAATTAACCAATGTCGTTATGACATGTTGAGGAACATTCCTCAACATGGAGGGAGGATATCCTCCCGTTCTTCCAAAATTACATTTTTGAGCTCCTGCATGGTTTGCGGGGCAGGATGATGAGCTCGAACACGCCTCTTCAGCTCATCCCATAGATGCTCTATAGGATTCATATCAGGACTTCGCGCTGGCCATCTCATAACAGTGATACCAATGTCATTTAAGTACTCCCTGACGATTCCCGCAGTATGGGCCCTTGCATTATCATGCATTAAAACGAAATCTTGGCCAATAAATCCAGCATATGGCATCACGTGGTTCTCTAAACAATGGCGAATGTATCTATTGCCATCTAGGGGCGGCAGTCATGGTCCCGTCACTACCTCTAGCTCAGTTTTGCCTTCCATAGAGATTCCTCCCCAGACTGTCCATGATCCTCCACCATAACTCACTTTCTCGTCAATACAGCATTGCGCGAAACGCTCGTTCTGTCTTCGGTACACCTTACTCCTTCCGTCATTACCGTATAGCATTATCTTGGACTCATCTGTGAAGATAACCTGGCTCCATTGATGTCGAGTCCAATTTAGATGTTCGCGCGCAAACTCTAGACGGGCTATACGGTGTGCTCGTGTCAATTTGGGTCCATTGGCTGGCTTAGGGGGCTTTAAACCACGTTCATTGAGTCGCCTTCTAACGGTCCGAGCACTTACAGCCACTCCGTGAAAGTCCCTGAGCTGTTCTTGTATCTGAACAGAGTTAAGGCGTCGATTTCGTAAGCTAGTAGTGACAATGTATTGATCTTGTCTCGCCGTTGTCACTCGGTAACATTGTCCTCCTGTTCGTCAAACGAAGCCGCCAGTCACCAGGTATCGGTGGCACACTCTTTGAACAGCGGAACGATTTATGTGAAGTTGTGAACTCACGTCTCGCTGACTTAGCCCAGATTGAAGAAGTGCTACAGCTTGCGCGGCTACTTCAGGTGAAGTATCCACAATTTTATAGCCAAAAACTGTTCAAATTATAGAAAAATAACTAAACTAAACTTTAGTTTACAACAATTGCGAAAATTCAAACCAAATCGACATTAAATTGCTTCAAAAGCAAATTTCAACAGTCATTATTTTTTTCAAATCAGTGACCAAGCTCGGCTTTTGTAATTTATTTTAAATTCTAAAATTCAAATTTGGAATTATACATACGGGAAAGACGATGAAATATGCCAGCATTAAAAATGCATAAAAACTTTTTTGTTATATTGTATATTTTTTGTGTATTGGGCTTTAGGGCCCGGGAATGTAAGGTGGCTCGATTCAAGAGTCCGGGTCAAGTCGAGTGTATTTACAGAGTCGTCGAGAGATGATTCATGAAGTCACCTTTCATTGCACGCGCCACTCTTGTTTTTTTTTTCATAATTTTTTATTCGATTATTTACAATATGTCTTTTTAATTATGTTATTTTTAATCAAATTTCAACATGTTTAATAATATACTGTCCGTGCTCGAGGCTGCTATTTGATACAGCCAGGGGCACGGGCAGAAGTCTGAAAGAGGAAGCATAGAAGGATAGTAAAGATAAAAGTAGGTATACAAGAAAATAGGGAGGTCAAAAACAAAGTAAAGAAAAGTTGAATCACATTAGTGGCGTTAAAGACTACTCGTTTGCTTCAAGTTGGCCGTCGATGGCCAATCACAGGCACATCAACTGGTACCATCGTCCAATATGGTCGACTTATAGGGACTGTCTAAGGCGCGGTATTCTGAAGCTGGGAGGGTGGAAGCAGCCAATTCGAAGCGAACGCGTAGTGCTTTGGTTATCAAAAGTATGCGTTATTAATAGAATACAGGGTTCACTCAACACATTCAAGCAAACTCATGCACATATACAGAGAGAGATACACACACACACGCAATCATACTCAAATGAGTCCTAAGGTAATTATTATATACATTTTTAAACTATTATATAATATAACATAATTATAACATTCACAGAAAAAAAAACTAAGAGCGTGCGCTGCGTTAAGCGGGACACAGAGTGGGCACCCGCTCGGCGCGCTTGCTTCATGCCATTTCATAGAGCAGCACCAGCGCTCCGAGAAATGACACAAAAAAAAACTGCACGGCGAGCGGTCTCACGCCCGACCGACGTCCCGCCTAAGGCAGCGCAGGCTTTAACAGTGCAATATTGTAACTTGTTTCAATATCTCCTTGACTTATAACATCCTAGTACAATGGAGCGCTCGGCCGACATGTTAGTTTGCGAGATTCACACTAGTTGTACTAAAAAAATTGAAACTACCCCACCGAATTTTCTTTCGATGCGATCTAAGAATGTTAGTGATACCTATAAGGAGGAGATTAAAACTATGATAATTCAATTATGCTGTCCATCAGCATAACAACAAGAAATTAAATCGTCTATGCTGAAGGAGATTCGCCAAAGCTATCTTAGTAATGAGAACTCCATGGCATTGCCAACTTCACAAAATTAAGAGTTGAGCAAAAAAATTTCTCACTTGGAAACTAAAGTGAAACAAGACGGAGATCACATGTCAAATTTTGAAATAAAAAACGTGCCTCGAAAACCTAGCAAAACGAAAGAGGACTTAGTCGACATAGTGCTGCGTTTGTCCTCTTCCGTGGGAGGTGCACTAACCAAACTTGATATCAAGGACGTCTATAGGGTTCGAGGTAAAAAGAAGAACACTAAGAATACCCCATTGTAGTCGAAACTTCATCGACTCTCATCAAAATTGACATCCTAAAATTGTGCAAAGCATTTAATAATACAAAAAAATAAGCTATGTGCCAAGCACCTAGGACTTCAGATTTTTGAAGTATTTTTTTCGTATCTGAACAGCTGCAGCTAGAGACCCCGTTAAGGCTGGAATATACAAGTTTTGTTAGACAGCATACGGACAAGTGTACATACGGAAA